GTTTGTATACATTAATTATGATACATTGTGGTCATTGCTTTGAAACAAGTGTAGAGAGAAGCACATAAGAAGGATACAACCTAAGTTTGAGGGATCTGGCTAAATTCTTGGAGCAGTGAATGACAAAGCTGACTTAGAAAAATGGGTAACTGATGAGTCCTGAATACTAGTCTTTCTCCCCACTTTCTGTCACCTCTTGAGGGGCAGATTCTTTGCTTTTGTGTTCAAAGTACTAGACATAGTAATGCTCAAATTTTTCTTATTCTGAAATATTAAACCTTGCCCTAGAATATTGTGATAATTGCAACTTGTATTAGATGCTTTGAGGATATAAAAGTACTGCATCCTGATCTTCCCTTGGGTGCCAAAAAGGAAATACTCTGATAATATATGGGCCATTTGCTAATGTTCTCTAACCTTTCCCTGTTTCCCTGTCTAAACAAACTGGTCTTTGTTCATCCTTTTCTTCTTTGCTGTATGGCTAAGGGATAGTGGAGTAGTAATTGCTAGCACATGTTTTTAAATTTATGCCCTTTTGGCATTTAAGAATTTACAGTAGCTTGTATTGTATTTAATAAGTTGTTTCTCAATCATATCTGCCATATATACCTTAATTCTAAGATCCTTTACAGCAAAAAAACTTTGTTACTTTTATGGGTGAAGGAATCAGTCATTCTGTGTTCAAGTTTTCATTATATACCTGTATACCCGGATTGTCCACTGAAAAGTCAGCATTTGAAAAAGTAAAGGATAGCTCGCTCCTCTGTTGAGATTCACTGAATGCTGATACTGCAACATTGGGATATAGATGTGGCTTTCCCACGGTGGTATTCTGATCACCACTTCATTGCATTATAACCTCTAGACACTATTTTAGAATATAGAATTCCAAAAGAAAAAGGTTGACTTTTCTTTCATATTTCATGTAAAAACAGTCAAGTTCAATTCCTTAAGTTCCCTAAAATAGTGTTTCCCCTTTCTACTAATAATTCTTAAGGATTGAGGTAACACCTAAAATAATCTGTTTTTAACAGAATTTTTTTTTAAAGGAATTAAAATATTACTCGTTCCTGTCGTCATTCAGAAATATGTACATATATATAACAACACACTAATAATGTCTGTTTTGGGTATATCCATCTGTACCATTTTGTTTTAAGGTTTTATTTTGGAATATATATTCACAAGTTGCAAAATATACACACACATACACAGACACACAGGGAGTCCCTGTGTACTCTGTTTCCTTCAATGGTAACATCTTGCATATAGTACAATATCAAATCCAGAAAATTGATGTTGGTACAATCCAGAGTTTATTCAGATTTCACCAATTTTACAAGCATTTATTTGTGTGTTTATATAGTTACATGTAATTTTATACATAGATTTTGTGCAGTTACCACAATTAAGATACAGAATTGTTTCATCACAAGGCTGCCTTTATAGCCACTTTCCTTTTCTTCCCTCCATTCCTAACACCTGGCAATCACTAATCTCTTTTCCATCTAATTTTGTTATTTTAAGAATATTACATAAAAAGAATCATACAGTATGTAACCTTTTAGGATCCCCCTCCCCCGCTAAAAATTCCCTTGAGGTTCATTCAAATTACATGTATCCATAGTTCCTTTATTGCTGCACAGTATTACATGGTAAGGATGTATGAAAATTTAACCATTCACTTTTTTTTTTAAGGGGGGGCAGGGCAAATAAAATCTTAATCAGACTCCATGCCCAGTGTTTGAGCCTGATGTGGGGCTCCATCTCACAACCCTGAGATCATGACTTGAGCCAAAATCAAGAGTCTGATGTTTAACTGACTGAGCCACCCAAGCACCCCCTACCCATTCACTCTTTGAAGGGCATGTGGGTTATTTCTAGTCTGAGGCTGTTAAATATGAAGCTACTATATGTAACTTGTGTATAGCTTTTTATGTGCACACTTTTATTTCTCAGGGTAAGTGTCCAAGAGTATAAATGCTGGGTTGCATGGTAAGTGCATGTTTAATTTTATAAGAAATTGCTAAAATATTTTCCAGTGACTACCATTTTATCTCCCACCAACAATGCACGAGTGATCTAATTTTTCTTGCATCCTTGCCAGCATTAGGTGACTTTTAAAAAATTTTAGCTGATGTAAAATGTTACCTTAGTTTCAGCTGTTGGTAACTTTTATTTTAGCCATTTGGGTAGTGATACTTCATTATGGTTTTTTTTTTTTTAAAGATTTTATTAGAGAGTGTGAGTAAGTGTTCATGAGCATGTGCACAAGTGGGGTGAAGGGCAGAAGGAGAATCAGACTCCTCCCCCCTGAACAGGGAGTCCGATGGGGGACTAGATCCCAGGCCCCTGGGATCATGACCTGAGCTGAAGGCAGACACTTAACCGAATGAGCCACCCAGGTACCCTTCATTGGTTTTAACTTGAATTTCCCTAATAGCTAATGATGTTGAACATCTTTTCACATGCTCCACATATTTCTCCATGTTTTTTACCCATTTTATAACTGATTTGTTTTTTTACTTTGAGCTTTGAGAATTCTTAATGCAGTTCACCCATGAACAACACGAGTTTGAGCTGTACATGGTTGACTGTATAATCCAGTCCTTTTTTCGGATAGGTAGTTCGCATATATTTTCTCTTTTTCTTTTTAAAGATTTTATCTATTTATTTGACAGAGACACAGCGAGAGAGGGAACACAGGCAGGGGGAGTGGGAGAGGGAGAAGCAGGCTTCCCGTGGAGCAGGGAGCCCGATGCGGGGCTCGATCCCAGGACCCTGGGATCATGACCTGAGCCGAAGGCGGATGCGTAACGACTGAGCCACCTGGGCGCCCCTATTTTCTCCTTTTCTGTAGCTTGCTTTTTCCAACCCCATAACAGGGTCTTTGGTGGTGCAAAAGTTTTTACTTCTGATGAGTTCTAGTTTATCAGTTTTTCTTTTTATGCATCATGCATTTACTGTCAAGTGTGAAAATTTTGTCTAGCCCTAGCACTTCTAAAATTTTTTTTGAAAAGCTTTGCAGTTTTCTTACATTTAAGTTCATGTTTTTACCTGTTTATTCTAATTGCCATAGCACTATTTAAAAGGCTGCCTTTTTTTTTTTTTTGAAGATTTTATTTATTTGACAGAGTTAGCGAGAGCAGGAACACAAGCTGGGGTGTGGGAGAGGGAGAAGCAGGCTTCCTGCCCAGTGGGGAGCCCGATGCGGGGCTCGATCCCAGGACCCTGCGATCATGACCTGAGCCGAAGGCAGCGGGGCGCCTGGGTGGCTGTCTTTAAGCTTCCCACTCTTGATTTTGACTGAGGTCATGATCTCAGGGTTGTGAGATCAAGCCCTGCAGCAGCCTCTGTGCTCAGTGGGGAGTGTGCTTGGGATTCTCTCTCTCCTGCCCCTGCACTCTCTAAAAATAAATCTTAAAAAAAAGTCTTACTGGAGGCGCCTGGGTGGCTCAGTCATTAAGCATCTACTTTCGGCTCAGGTCATGGTCCCAGGGTCCCGGGACTGAGTCCCACATTGGGCTCCCTGCTCTGGGGGAAGCCTGCTTCTCCCTCTCCCACTGCTTGTGTTCCCTCTCTTGCTGTGTCTCTGTCAAATACATAAATAAAATCTTAAAAAATCTTTAAAAATCTTGCTGGATTTTGATAGGAATTATGCTAAATTTATAGATTTAGGAAGAATTGACCTTCAATCCATGGCACGTGGTACATTTCTCTACTTATTTGGGCATTTAATCTTTCACCAACTTTTGTGATTTTCAGCATACAGGTCTTATACATGTTTTTTTTTTTTAGATTTACACCTAACTGTATCATTTCCGTTGGAGTGATTGTCCATGGTATTGTGGTTTTTTGTTTCCAATTTGGTTTTGAATATCAAGCAAGAATCCAGCAAAATGAAACCCTTAAATGTGTGTTTTTAAGCTGTGGCCTTTTCTTTCAGCTTTCTCCTACAAATAGCATTACTAGTCCTTTGAGAATTTAAGTAAGGGTAGAAAGGTTTTTAGTCCCTCCTCCCACTTGATATCCAATGTAAAAATAAACCCTTTGACATTTGATCATTACTGCCACTTGAAAACTTCCAGGACTGGGGAGTAGTCTCTTTATATAGAAAGGAGTTCATTTCAGTGATGGATACTGATTCTCTGTTCATTTTGCTGTTGACTCACGGTGATTTTTAAGACCTCCAAATTTTTCCCTGCTTGGCAATTTCTCACCTTTCTCTTTCAGATACGGGGATCCAGAGTCCCACCTCATTGTGCCTTCTTTTCATGTAACATCATTTTAGGTCTGGATTCTTTATTCTGTGCCCCTTTTCCAGAGAGACATTAAGTGTAGTGTAGCTCTAGTTTTTAATGACACAAACCTTCCAGAAACCCAGACACCTAAAGGTGATGGGAGTGCAGAAGCAGAAAGGTGCCTAAGGAATTCTATGAGCTTGTAGGGGAAGAGTGTCTTGTCTGGATGGTGTGAAGGAAATGACCAATAACCAACCTCCACCAAGCGCCGGACTCTTTTATATGTGATTTTAACCAAGTTTTAAGATGCTTTCTAAAATGTTTCTACACACAATAGGCTCAAAGGAATTTTGATTTCCCAGTATTACCCAGTTAGCAGATGGTCCAAAGATAATGGACACCAGAATCCCAAGTTGTGTCGGTTAAAAATTAAGATTCTAGAGCCATATTACAGGCAATTTATGGTGTGGGGTTAGGGGAGTGGAAGAAGCTCTTTGAGGGCTTATTTAGCATTCCAAACTTGGAGGTGATCTTTGCCTTTCTCCCCCCTGCTTCTGAGCACCTTATAGTTATAATGCATGTTTGGGCAACAGATGAATAAGAACACATGTAAACAGAACTCCAATGCAAGGTAGAATGATATACAATAAGAAGTACAAAGAACTATGGGTTTTCAAATGGAAGGGAGAGCACACATGGCTAAGATGAGATCAGTGAAGGTTTTAACAATAACTGGTAGATCAGTAAGATTTTCTTTGATTGTAAATTTTATTATATATATTCAGAACAGTATTCATTGCTCATTTAATATGGCTATTCACAACTATAAAGCAATTTGAGCAATGCTGATTGCATATTAAGATGAAAAGTTATTACATGCTGAATCTTTTAAAAAATTGAAGATAAAGTACTTAGGCTTACAATTACAGGTACTCAATTTTTGCTAATTTTAAGACAGTAACAATATTTAAGGATAAAAATACTTAACAAAATTACATCTGAATTTGTAATTTATTTCCATGCTATTTCAACCACTTAATTGCCTTCTATACCTTGACATTCACATGAAAGAACAGCACATCATTAATGACCCAAATGCAAATAAGAGTAAAACTCTAGGCCTTAAATATATTTTAAGAGTTTATATAACTAAAAACTGAAGACAAAATCAGTCATTAAGTGATAAGTTGCTTAATTTTAGCGTAATTTTAATTTCAAAATTGAGTACTGACATTTAAAAAAACATAAGGCAGATAAACTATATGCCTATAGAAATATTAAAGAATTTAGTTCTTTGCTAATTATATTTTTGGTTAATACAAGTAACATCCTTCTTAATCCCACTCTTCATTTTGTGCCTATAAAAAATAAAATTATGTCCTCAATATTCCTAAGTTCCTTTTTTCTAGATAAGGCCATTATAAGACGTTACTGAATCATAGGTTTAAAATCAGTGGCACAAATCATCTGTAGATAATGTAACAAGTTCATTGTTAGGTAAGGAATCAAGAGTATAGTACAGTAACCAGCCAGAGGTAGAATTCTTGATCACAGTTTTATAAAGAAGATGCAGTAGTTTATATCTGTACTGTTTTATTAGTTATAGTATGGTAAGGTTGCTTCTCATAATGAGTTTAACAGAAGGGGGGAACGGGAGGTCTCTTCACAGGTGATTGTTGGCCCTTGTTTTGCATGTATTGTAGGCACCACTCCTGGACACTTAAACATTTTCTTGGCCAGTTAAGGTAATCAATTATATATGGCATTTACCTCATTTTTTAAAAGCTTCGTAGTAGGGATAGGTAATCTTTTTGTTCTCCCAAGGGGATAAGAAGGAGGGAAATAAATCTCTTTTTGTACCACTCTGACTGTAAATTAGTAAATGAAACCATTCTCTCAATATCACTGCTTATTAAGAATTCCAGCAGTACTAATGTACAGAGAGGTTCTATACTCAAATTTTTAAGTTGATTTCTCATATTTGTCTTAATATTACAAATGGGCATAACCTAAAAATTCTACTTAATTCATGTTGTAGCTAAATTACTAGTATTTAAGTAATACTCCCCAGATTGCAATAAGCAAGGACGGCAGAGACTTTACATAGAGTTATTCACATACCACTTTAAATTTGGGATTCTGTGGGCTTTCAAATCCTTACTTGAATGTCAATAAATAAAGTGATCAGAAAGGTCATTTAATGAAAGTTATAACAATTGTAATGTATGTACCCAGTGCTAAACCTTACAGTAGAGTTTGTTTCATAAAATGTACCTGAATACTTAGACAATTCAAAACAGAATAAAACAACTGTAAAAAATAAAACCCTAGCCAAGTATAGTTTCTTCAGTTACCTGGAATTTAGTCTCATGATTGATATTAGGATTGGGTCATTATGATGAACCAATCAGATTCCAGATACTTACAGTTTATTTAAGTGAACTTAATTTTCATCAGATGTTCTCAAGCTTACCTAAATTCTTCTTTTATTGATTGTTGTTGCTGATTTTGAGAACTCAGAAAAGGAGATACTTATTTATGTAAGGCCCAGATTTTTAAGCAGTATTTCCTTCACAACTGCTGGTAATAATGTATTATCCAAGTCAGTAATCATGTTAAAACTAACGACACTGCTGATAGGTAATATAAAAATAAAATTATTTTCCCTCACATTTAATTTCAAAATTCTAGTTCTGAGTTAAGGACTAGACCAAATGTGTCCTTATGGAGACTGTGAGCAGCCTTTAGCTATTTCATTTCAAAGAGAAAATCTGTTCCAATTTTAATAATGACTGAGCATTTTTAAATATTATTAAAATGTTGGCCTTTGGGGAATATAAGTGAAGTATTTAATACTTTTTGCTAATATTTTAAGTTGAAATATATTTGGTTATAAAAATCTCACAAATCTGCTTTTCACAGCTATGCTTCTATTTACATTACAGGAGAAATATATATGTAAAAAGAAAAGTTGAGTTTTTGTCTTCTAAAGATATATCCAATCCATGATTAGGTAATTCTCAGATGATTTATAATTTAATATACTGAAAAATTATACAATTAATTTATAATTGCCACATTTACAAAGAAACTTCAATATACTGAAAAATTCTAATTTGTAATTGCCACATTTACAAAGAAACTTCTAGGTAAGACAGTCTTTTAAAAACAATGTTTGGTGTTGCATTTAGGCCCAAAGTTCATTTATTTAAATCACCTATGACATTTGCAAAACTTTTTCAAACTTAGGAAAATGCTGATAAATATGGCTTCATTCAATTATACCTATACTCTGTGAAATATTTGTTATACACTTAAGTACAACTGAAGCAATAAGATTACTTGCACAGACGAAAGTGAAGACTCCTTTCACCTTAAAATTATACTTGTTTCACACTTGTGGTAATGCCTGAAAACATTTTTTGGAAAGACTATTAATGGTCTTGATTATAAGTGTATTGCATTTTTCTGTCTTTTTTTCCCCCAATGTTAATTACTCTAAAGTTTTAAGTTCTACTTTTCCTCTTATCTTCAAATAGACTCTTTAGCATATAAACTTGAATTGCTGACACTACCACCATTACCACTAAGTTAACCATAGACCAGAAATTGACTCTATCAAAGTTGCTTTCTTGTATATTTCGATCACGAGCTTCAAATGCTCTAAGCAGAGTCTGGATATGACCACTTTTGCTTAGTCTGGCCTTGATACTGTTGATGGATTCCTGGAGATAAATAAAATAATTTTACTATCAAAGAATGCTCAGTAATTTTAAGTTAAATTTAAGTTAAACATGTGATTCACAGTATCCTAACTCATAATAGTTTTACATCCAAACACAATTTTAATTAAGGGACAGGTACTACTTGGATCACCTAAAGATCTTCTGTAAGTTTATGTAATAGTTCTCATCCAATAGTTACTTAACAGAGGAACAAAGCTAATGTAAATTGAAAAGAAATAATGTGAAAATATATTTCAGTGCATAGTGCCAGGAATTTTATATACACTGTTTCTTAGCCCTCACAATCATAAGAAAAAGACTAGTTTTAAAAAACCTAACTGATAGAAAAAAAAACCCGTTAACAGCTTTTAGATATTTATCTTTATATAATGCACTGTCTTTATAGTATTTTCTTTGAATGTTAGTCTTGTCCAATTTAGTGTCTAGCAAAACACCCAATGTTTTCATCTCAGAAAATAATAGTGAAATTAGAAAATACTCCAATTTTTGATACGCATATTATACATCCAAAAGTATAATCTATTTTTAATATAAAAATGTTCCAAAATTACATTTGTAAAACAAGCTTATCAAGATGCACTCTTAAGTTGTACATCTTCTGAAAAACCTGTTTTTATAGCAGGGTCCTGGTGAGAGAAGTGATTTGAAAACTAAGAGGGCTATATGAATATCAGTTAAAATTGAGACTTGAAATGATGCCAAAGTACATCGCTGACCACTTGAACAACATGGGAGTTAGAGGGGTCAACGCCCTGCACAGTTAAAAATCCACATAAAACCTTTGATTCCCGAAAAACTTTACTAATAGCATACTGTTGACCAGAAGCCTTACATAAACAGTCAAAACACTGTTTTCTGTTATATATATTACATACATTATATACTGTATTCCTCCAATAAAGCTAGCAAAATGAAAAATGTTAACTAAGAAAATTGTAAGAGAAAATACATTTCCTGAAAAAAATCTGCATAAGTAGACCTCAGTTCAACTGCACTTTGTTCAGGGGTCAACTGTACTTATGGCAAAAATAAGAAAATACTAGAAACAGATTTTCCTGCATAGTCATCTTGCTTAAAATCCTTATTTAAGCAAAAACTATACTCAAAATTTCAGACTTTCTGCTAAACCTACAAAACTACAAAGTGTAATATTTATCATTTGGGCATATTTGTAAAGCAACAGTAACCTAGTAATGCAAATATTTTCTAGAAAAATAAGGAATTCAGATCCCCAAATAAAAAAGATCATGCATAGTTCTTTTCAGTATTACAGCAATGATAGCCAAATACAAAATTATTTATCAAAGTTTGCTGTTAGGATACAAAATTGGGGGGGAAATAAAGCTCCTGAAAGACATTTTTCTTTAAAAAGGGCTTATAAGTATTTTAAGCCATATTTAAATCTGAACTTACTGGTCATTTTGTTTAACCATGTGAATGAATTCAATCTCTTGAGAATGCAGTTAAGTACTAATGAGGTTTATAAGTACTAGTGTTTTAGTCTTGTTGGCAAAATAAATTTAAAATGAAAGAATAAGTTAATATGATTGAAATTTAAAAGATATATACATGGGAAATTATGGTGAGATAAAAAACTGTCATGGTAAAAATTCATACCTTAACTTTCAGTTTGTATTCATAGTAACACCAGTGGAAAAGGTAAGAAAAGTAACATGTATTATGCCATACACTGTTTAAAGCACTTAGACACATGACATTTCTTATTTCATCCTCACAACAACTCTAGAGGTATTATCCCCATTTTGCAGGTGAGGAAACCAAGGCTGTGAGGGCTCATTCACTAAGCAATCACACATGATAAAACATGATTGTCTAATTTTCTGACTTCCTAAGCTATGTATAGTATGTCTCTTCTGCTGTTTGACAGCTGCTTTCCTAAAAAACCTCAAGTGATCAAAATACCACATTATTAAAAAAAAAATTCAGGTTATAAGACAATTAGAGATTACACAGTTTTAATTGACAATGATTATGTTATTTCTCATACAGCTATATATGCTATTTACAAATACCACTCAGTAAATTCTATCATTTGATTACATCTACCTGTGGCTGAAGGGTCATGACCTTCCCCCCATCACCAATACTATTATGGACAAATAGGTTCTTACACATGCACATTTCATTATGCATGTAAATGATAAGGCAATTCAAACAAAGAAGCCATATTCTAAAAGTTTTCACTCCTGAATGTAGTCCTAGTTTCTGATAACTGCTAGGTCTGGTCTGAGTAATGTAAACAGTGTTGCCAAATTAATCAAGTGATATCAAATTTCATGTTATAAAAATTATGCTGTGAGAAAAATGCCTATAACATCTTAAGTGTTTACAAACTGCTCACTTTTTTTCTATGTGCAAGTATGCTATAGATCATTACCTTCTTCTATTTGTGAACATTCTAAGGGAGTTTTATAGTTAAGAAGAGCCTGTGTTCAAGTTCTAGTTTCCCCCTTTCTGGTTATGTGACAAACATTACTTAATCTCCCCTAAACCACAATTTCCTCATTGGAAACATGGAGATAAATAATCCTCATAGAGTTAAGTAAAGATTACATGAGATAATGCAGAGAAAATTATTATTTCAGTGCTTATCACACAGTCAGACCTCTGGATAATTTTTATTTATTAAAAGATCATACTGACCAGGATGTCTTCCAGTTTCATGTCCAACATGTCTGTCCCAGTAATATATTTCTTCCAGTCCTCTTGTTCTTGCTCCTGTTCTCCCATATTATCCAGGATTAATTCAAAGAAAATCACCTTCTCAGAAATGGTGCTGAATGTATTATCAAAGCAGAACATGTAGTCACCATCTTCAGTCTCTACCCTGTATTAAAAAAAGTACATGTCTTCAGTTATCTGTACTTCTTTTTGGGATCAAAGGAAAAACTACTATAGGTAAGAAATAACATGGTTTATAGTAATTGGATAGTTTGCTGATAAAAAGACTTCCTTAAGTATTGAAAGATAATTTATAATTTCTTGGGAAAGAGGCAACCTGGAAATATATATGTAAAATATATAAGTAGTTGCAACTTAGATGTGCTTGGCATTTACTCAGGAAATACGGTAAAAGATCTTGACCTAATTTTTGGAAAAGGATAGGATTAAAAACCTAAAACATAGATACATGATACCTCACAATGATCTTTAATATTTATATATTAATTTATCATGAGTTCAATTCATATGCAAATATGACCACAAACCTCCCCTTTAATTTAGATTACTTTCTAAAGTGACTTGTTTTCAAAAGCAGTGATGGATTGTTCTAAATGCTTTCTTCCAGGCCTCCTACAGATTAAGACCATCTTTATAGGGGCGCCTGGGTGGCTCAGTCGTTAAGCGTCTGCCTTAGGCTCCAGTTCATGATCCCAGAGTCCTGGGATCAAGCCCCCCATCGGGCTCCCTGCTCAGTGGGGAGCCTGCTTCTCCCTCTCCCACTTCCCTGCTTGTGTTCCCTCTCTCGCTGTGTCTCTCCCTGTAAAATAAATAAACAAAATCTTTTTTAAAAAAAAAAGACCATCTTTATAACATAGGTTTACAGAGATTAGGGATCAGTGGCCAACAAACGAGCTTTACACTCAGTGGCATTAGCTTTACTGAATAAATGCCACTCACATCTAAGTTAAACTTGTATCTTGGTCTCATTAGCTTCACATTCAAGATAACTGGCCTAAAACATGTGATTCTTTTAAATCAATCTCCATTTCTTTTCCACCCCTATATCCAATTTATTTAGTTTAAGCATGAGAGAGAAGTACTCAGCAATTTGATTGAATCTTAACATATATACCATAAATAAAATACAGCCAATACTTGTATACCCCTTTATAATTTACACACTACTTTAACATATTTTAATTCTTTTAATCCTTACCATCATATTTTGAAATAGGCATAATTGACCTTTTCAAGGTAAGTAAAATAAAGTTCACATAAGTTAAAATACTTGCCTATGATCACACAGCCTGTCAAAGGCATAGACGAAGCTTGGTTTTCTGACTCTCATGTTAATTGATCTTTCTTTTCTATAGTACTACTCAGAGCCTGTTTGCATTCCTTGTAATCTCCTCAGTCATGACAAACCTTTGTCTTGATGTATTTAACCTTTGGAAGAAGCTTGAAGAATATACTGGCAAATACAGTGGGGAACAATTTTAAAAAGAAAAAAATGTTTTGACTTATGTAAAGCTAAGTTTAATTTTAATCACTTTTAAATTTAACTCTTAATTTTGTTTAGTCTTAATTTTATTTAACTCAACTTTATTTAGCCATTCTTAACCCTGCACTGGATAAAAAGGGGAAGCTTTGTACCTACTCTTTTTACATGTAAAGTACAGATCTACATATAGTACAAAAACTGGTTTTAAAATTTCATGGGAAGATGATAAGGCAGAAAAGTCTAGAAAGGTTGCATGGGGACAAGAGTAAAAATGAAAAAAAGTTTGAGAAGCACTGAATCACATGGATGAGCTTCAGCATGTGTATGGAAAAAAAGGTATTTTACTACTTTATAGTCATTCCTATACTAATCTCTTTCTAAATCTGTTGACTGCTTTTAGTAGAAAGGAACTTTAATACTACAAATGATACAAAATATTATCCAAATAAAAATTGTATAGTTAATTTTCCCTTCAAGTAGAATAAAGAGCAACAGTAGTTCAGAATGCATAAATTCTGGCGTGAGTTACAGTAACGTTAATTCAGCTGTCTAGAAAAAATATAAACACACAAACAGACTTATTCCTGGAAGTGCCAGCGAATAGGTATTACTTAAGCTGTTTATAGTTCTGTTTGGAGACATTTTTACTAACGCTGCCTTCTGAAAGGACAGTATTTAGGATTTAATTGAAGAAAAAAACTATTTCAGTGCCATAACAGAGATATTTTATAACCTGCCTTTAAAAAATATAGCTAAAGATAAAATTTTGTTTAAATCTGATTTTTTATTATTTATTTATTTATTTATTTATTTATTTTATTTTATTTTTAAGCAACTGCCTTCGGCTCAGGTCATGATCCTGGAGTTCCGGGATCCAGTCCCGCATCGGGCTCCCTGCTCAGCGGGGAGTCTGCTTCTCCCTCTGACCCTCGCCCCCTCATGCTCTATCTCATTCTCTCTCTCTCAAATAAATAAATAAAAAAATCTTTAAAAAAATAAATA